AAATACTGCTTTTGAAACACTTTTCGATGAGTGCCCTCCAGTGCCGAAGAACACTTATAAGCACAGCTGGAGTAACGCTTGTAATGAACCTGACAATGTGTTTTTGTTCCGTGTGTGTGCAAACTTACTCTACACCCCGTAGTTTCGGGCATTTCCTTGTCATCCTTAAAGTCTAGGAAAAGCCCCTGGTGTCAAAAAACATTCTAGAACGACGAGTTTCTCAAGTTACACAACGACCGGCCAAGTTACGTGTCTGCTTTGTTGCCTGGACAAGACCAGGACTAAAGGCTGTCAACCTGCCGCTTCACGCGTGCTGATTGATGGCAGTGCCTTACTGATGTGAAATATTTTCTTAGCTTTTATGTCAGTTCGAATTTCCCCAAGCGCGGATCATAAAGCCAGATCTATTGATTGCTTACAAGCAACAGTTTGAAGCCTGCAGTTGCTACTGGCATACACGAGTATTTCGCCACAATGTAGCATCTTCTTTGAACGAGTAGACAGAGAGCTGTGTAGTCTCGAGACAGCGTGTCCACCTCGAGTGCTAGAGGTTCTGGGTTCAATCCCCGGTAAGGGCTGGGATTTTTTCACGTGGACTTCTAGTACCTCCTCCTGCTCTCAGACGCCCATGTGCATTGTTGCGCACGTAAAATAATCCCTTGGCAGTTGGAAATCGAAAAGAGTAGTCTAACGGCGCTGCCCGGTCAAAAATTTGGAGTTAAAAACTGTGCACTGTGCTGAGCTTCTTCGGAACCAGACTTGAGTTAGAAGAAGAACGGAGCACGTATTGGTTACTACCCGTGTGCCATAATGTTGATCCGTTGTTCGAACCTCAAACCTGAAATAGTAGAAAGTAATCAGCAATCGCACTTTACATTCCCTACCTGGATCTACACACCTGGGTATACAGGTGTAAAAGGCAACGAAAGAGTGGCCCAGAAGGTAACTAGTGTACTAATAAAACAAGCGGAAAAAAGTACTGACAACGCTGATATAGTCAATGCTGTATGGTCTAGGCTGGTGGATAACGAGTACCTGACGCTAACATAACTACGTGGCACGCGAGTACAGCCTGACCAAGCATGTCTATATGGTATTCGAGGTCAAGATATGAGATATAACCAACAGTTCATGGGAACAGATGTTAGATACGCATGGGATGGCTGATACATCGAAACATTTAGAACGCTGGGCTTCTTAATATGCATTGACTTCGAACGTCGTGACATAACATAACGATAGAACATAACACAATATAAATATGAATATCTAAATATATTGGTTTTCCGTGCTGAAGTGGTTATATTGCTTGCATACAGCTCTGAAGATTTAATTTCGGCTCTGTCGTTTTGATTCGCCATTGCATAGGGTTTGGAGTTCCATTTGTGGGGTGTAGTGTTCGTGACCGGAGCTACGGAATTCGTACATTGTACAACGCTCTCAGGTCCACTAGCCGTTCTGTGGGGGAGAGACCGAGCCATATAGGATTAATTCAAAGGTGATCTTCCCGACTCTCTCGGCTTTAAAAAAAAAAAAAAAACACGTTGAACATGTACATTGGCCTTTCAGATCAAAGCCGCCCAAAATTGGTGCCACGAGATAATCTGGGAAATAAAGGCGACCAGAGAGGGGAGAGAGGTGAAAGTGTGAAAAAGACCCGAAATAGAGGAGGGGAGGAAGAAGGGCTGAGGTAGAGAAGAGAAAAAGTAATATAAGGAAAAAGGAAATGAGAAGGAGCTTATAGGGACCCCAAGGAGATGAGAGAGAGAGAGAGAGAGAGAGAGAGAGAGAGAGAGAGAGAGAGCAGGGGAAGAGAAAGTGGGGAAGGGTTAAACAGAGAGAGAGAGAGAGAGAGAGAGAGAGAGAGAGAGAGAGAGAGAGAGAGAGAGAGAGACAGAGAGAGAGAGAGACAGAGAGAGAGAGAGAGAGAGAGAGAGAGAGGGAGAGAGAGAGTAAACTATAATATTTAATTTCGTCTCTTGGACATTTTCGGTGGCTATTCTGTCCCGTCGTGTTTTGACTTTAGTGCCCTCCATTTATAATTACCGCCCCTTCGTTTTTTTACTTTGGCTGCTGTAGGATAACAGTGCGCGTGTCACGCAATGGTACATAGCTACGCAAGCCCACAGCAACTGTCCAAATAAGGAAAGCATCAATTAATTTACCTAATTTGATCACAGGTTGTCTCTTCTTCGTTTTCTTCTACAGTGTGGTCTGGAACTAAAGCAGAAATTGCAACAACAACAAAAAAGTGTGTCTCCTAAATAGTGGTCTCGTGCACTCTATTATTCCCTCTGTCTAATTATATTCCTTACGTCCTTCTTGGGACGTAATTTTTTGTTATTTGAAGCCCCACTCTGGCCTTTGCCAGGGGTCGCAATATAGGCAGGCCATCAATATGGCCAATTGTCTGAACGCGGTTTCTGGGACCTCTCCAGGGTGATCCTCATCCACATGGTGGCACTTTGTGTCATCGCGTGTTAATCGCTTGTGTGATGTCCTAGTGGGGTAGAAAGTCAGTCAGCCAGTTGGACTATGATCCTACAATATACTTCCCGTCCTTTTTCGGATGAAATTTTTCGTTTTTTGAAGACCTACTATGGCTTTTGCCA